AAATACAAATTGCCGTATTATTTAATGTATTCAAAGAATGCTTTTATCCGCCATATGTAATATTGTCACCTGACATTGTTATGTTTTGTTTCGCTTGGGAAGCGTTTATTATACACGATAGAACTCTAGTATAGTAAGCCATAACTATGAACAATATCATGTCCCAAATAAATAATCTATTTTGTAGATCTGCAATTTGTCACGTGATGGTCCGAACATTATTTGTATGGCTCTATTTGTTGATACCGCTAATAATTTGTCATGGAAAAAAACTTCGCTTAGTAAACGAGGCAATTTTACCCAGCCTCATTCTGAACAAAATACCTCGTTCCAAAAACAGCAATTTAAAAATCCACGTTTCGGAACTCCAGACAAATGAGGCATTTTTTTTACCTCGTTACAACGTGGCAAAATGGAGGCAAAAATTTTAACACATTTTTGTCTCGTTTGGAAAGAAATGCCGAACGAGACATTCTGAGGTTTATAGTGTGACATTGTTTCTTTCCCATTCGTTATTTTTCTCAAGAGCAGGCGAGGTCTATCTTATAATGGGATCGAATCAAATCATTCACGTTTCAGCTAGAGCCTTTGTTGTTTTGTTTTTTTAATTTAGAGGTTCAATCGGTATTTTCAGCATCATTTTCTGGCAACCAAATCGATTCCACGGCACAGCAAGTGATAAAGAGATTGCACAGTCCTTGTTCAGTCAACAAGGTGATTCAATGAGCAAACTAGCGATCCTTTGCACTATCAACTCAACAAATTAAGTAAAAGACCATATTGATTAATCAGAGTTACCGGAGGATTTAAAACACATCTGGATTTCAATTTTGTTACATCTAAGAATCACATTTTTTATACGTCTGCACAACCCTCGTTTAATAATTTAATTAAAAGATAGCCACGTAAAACATCGAATACGCCCACACAGCAGCTGCAGCTAATCCGAAAGGACAACTTAGATGTTAAGCAAATTTGATGAGGATGTAGGCTCCCTGAAGATATCTTGAACGGTTTATGAGATATGCTCAGGAAACAAAATTATACGCCAAAAGTCAAATTTGTTTCCATGAAAACACAAAAAATATAAATCCCAGAAATTCCTAAATAACAAAAGGCACAAATACTGTTGATGTGTGTGCAAAGTTTCAGAAAGATACCTTGAACGGTTTATGACCATGCTCTGGAAACGAAATCGGACGGACGGACCCCATTTCAATATCCCTCCCTTACTTCGTTCGGCGCGGGATACAAATGCGCCATACATTGTTCTGTGGATGAAGAGGGGGGGGGGCAATGATGGAGATCGATCACGGGACCTCCAGGTTAGCGAGCCAATGTATTGCTCATTCATCAAAAGCGGCTTCCATCCATTAAAGGACAATATGTGATAGAACTGGTTAAATACATCCCAAATATAATTTTAACACAGAGATCATTGCTACGGGAGATGTGTAACAAGCACGGGAAGACACGAGAAGTGACGCCAAACATGACAAACACGAGTTATCCTTCCATATAACTGATTGAATTAACGAGCGATGAACACGCGATCGAATTTCATTTCACTGATAATTCAGTTGAAGATGAAAAATTATTATTATAGCAGTTGTCGCATTCACAGGCCAATTGTTAATAGATAGACCGACAGGGTAACAGCGATGAAAATCGAGACTGCGCTATTCTTCTGTCAAAACTTCAATATATTCCCTTTTCATTATCTATTGTATCTATATCTTACATTATGCGTTTTAAAGCCAAAATCCATAATTACGAAAAATAATTACAGTTAATTATGCAAGAGCTAAATCTGCCTATTGCAGGTCTTTCTCTAGGCCTGAAATGTTTTCCAAAGTATTAATTAGACATTAATTAACTGATCCAGGCCTTAATCATCTTTCGATTAGAATGGTTCAGCGATACTTTGATTTAATCAAATATGGAGGACCAAGACTTAGCTTCGATCAACCGTAGAACGGTGGTTGAAATTATTGCACACGCCTGTCGAACCTTCAAAGGCTAATATCTTCGCTTGCAATAGCGTAATTTGAATGAAATTTTACATTATCTATTTTCGAATTATTATAGCAAGAATGGCTAGCTCTTTATCTACATCTTACATAATGTATCTTTAATCACTTAGCTATTATCAAAACAATAAACTGTAAATCCAAATATTTATTGCTTGAGCGTGGCATGCGCCATGAACAATAGGGAACAATCCTTGGGGTATAAGGAATAAGTATGCAAAGTTTCAAGACAATCAAGAATTGTGCCCTGTAGGCGACCCACATACCCATACAGACGGGCGACGGCAATAGGTGGACGTATAAAAAGTCAGTGAAAATACACACCTGGAACTAAATGTGAAAGAAAAAGATGAGACAAAAGCCGGATCGTTGCGTGAGAGATATATATATATATTATACTAAGCAGCATAAGAAACGTCGGGTTGGTATGCTACTCTGAATAGACGCATTGCATAACACTTGTGAAATGTTTTTATTGTATATTTGTGACATCTTCAACTTTACCTGAGCAATAAGGCTCCTTCCTAAACACAGAACTGAACTCAGGAAACGTTCTCCAAAACGCAACCTGGCTTCTGAGATGGTAATGTGTTCTCCATGATTTTCATGTAACTCATGTTGCACGTGCTGTTTTCCGGGTCCAGCCCAAGAAAATGCACCCCATACCTGGTTGAATCATTCACATTACAACATCAGCAACATGCCACAACAGCTCAGAGGAAACAGGCGCTTGGAAGAATCGACGCTAGCCACACTGCCCAAACCGTTACCATTCACTTCCAGGTCAATGTTCCGACCATCTACAGGCTTCAGCAACGCTTTCGGGCCACCAACACCACGGATGATTGCCCCCAAACTGGTAGACCAAGGGTAACCACAAGACCGCCATTGTGCGACAGCACGTGTAGAATCCCTTCACACAGGCATCTGAGACAGCACGTCAGACAGTGGGAACACACGAAAGACCCATCAGTACCGATACAGTACGCCGATCCTCACCCCTCGCCATGAACGTCTACAGTTTGCCCAACAACACAAGACCTGTTCTGTTCAGATGAGAGTCGGTATTGCGTATCAACTGCAGATGGCAGGACCAGAATAAGGCGTCGACGTGGCCAGCGTCATTCTGACCAATGTGTCATGGAACGGGACTCATGGGGAGGTCCAAACATAACGCTTTGGGGGTGGAATTGGTCTGAAACAGAGAGTGGGTCTTGTGGTGTTCAAAAATCTTGGTAGAGGGAGAGAGACGGCATTACAGCAGTGCGCTAGATCGATCTAGCTCTCAGACCCAGCTTCATACCACATTTCGCACAGCAGAACGGTGTCGACGTTAAACCAGATTGAACATCTTTGGGATGAAATTCAGAGGAGACTTAAAAAAGTCGTACCGAGACTAAACACAGCAGGTGGATTGTGCTAGGCTTTTCTGAGAGTGTGGTTCCAGGTGCCATGGCGTTCATCAATTGTCTGGCCCACTCAATGTACAGGCGCTGCGCTGCTGTTTACTGACACTCGCGGTGAACACTCCAGATACTGGTGTATAGACTCTAACCCTTCTCGTAATGTCTTGGAATTGTGGTGAATTAATCCCTAATACTGTTCACAAAAAATTGCTTTGATCCATTTAGTAAGTCGTTTTTTAGAATGATTTGATTAAAGTGCCTCTCTGATTTTGAAATTGTGCTAACGTGTACGTTTACGTGTACAATGTATACACGAGACCTCGGTTTTCCGCCACACCCGAACGACTGTACGTCCTCCCCCACTGACAAGGAGAAACCATACCGGAAAGTCCCAAGAACTTTCTCGGTCAACGCAGGGATCAAACAAGTCACCCTAGAAGCATTGACGTGGTCTCCGCTACATTTGGTACATTTATCGAGAGCCGCAAAAGAATAATTTGTAGTACATATCTTTATTATATGTATTGACATTGAAATAGTCATTGAACATCAAGTAATCAACTTTGATTAATCTATACTCGGTCATTTATCGCTCTCGCCCAATTAGAACCAAAGTTATCCTGTCCCATGCTCTCAACCAATCAAATTGCTTATCTCTGCTTAGCATAACTGGAAAATGCGCATGATCGAACTCTTGTCAAGGCATTCACATATTGGACTCTTGCACCAAGTTTGAACATTCTAGCTCAATTAGAAGGAGAGTTATTATCCCAAAAAGTGTGACGGACAGATTGAAAGACGAAGGACAATAATGCATAAACTATATGTTCAGGGGTAACGTGGCACCGGTGAAACCCGTCATTATTGCATCGCAGTTCTAGTTTTTTATTGTCTTTATTGAGAAATTCAAACATTGTGATGGGGCCGTTATTGAATATTCCAAACCACTATAATGATTTCTATTAAGAACGGCTGATTAAAATATACACGCTAACCTGGTTGGGCATAAAGACCGCATAATGCATAAATAATGATATTTGGGACCAAATTGTCAGTTGTTATTCAATAAATATTGAGTTTTTGTGATAACTTCTTGTTACATGTTGTCACAATAAATGACACAACCATTGCAACATTTCTTGTACATGGTAGTACTGGTTTGTGTACACCGCGACCACTTGGTTTACAGATCATTGTTGGTAACTTCTTGTTACATGGTGTCACAATAAATGAAATTTAGTTTGCACACCACTGTTTATCTGATATGCGTCTAGTTTCATGGCGAGACATACTTAGGCATTGACTAAACCATGAAGATATGAAGTGTACAATTACATGTGTTTCTTGGACTATCATAGATCAAAACAAAAGTTAAATATGAATAAACTTGTAGTGATTTTGATTTTTGTAGTGTGTATTTTCCGGATAGTTTCAACAAACTACGTACAGCTTTATACAGATAAGATTGTTAAATTTGCTGCAACTACCACGTCAGAGTCAAGCAGCTCAATAGAGTGTGCTCTAGTATGTCGAATAAACCACCCCTGTGTTTCGTACGCCTACCATCCAGGAAGAGCTCACTGCTACCTTTACGATCGAGTTATTCATCCGGCAGACACCACAAATGTTGATGAAGGCATCCAAACATATACTTCTGATTTTGGTAAGTTCCACACACCCCCTACAACTTGCTGACCCGTATTTATAGCTTTATTCAGGAATTGTCTTTGGTTTTATAGTTTTGTCATCACTATTTCGGCTCCGTTCGGTATTGGCTTGTATCGGTCCCAGGCTAAGTTTTGTAAGATGCTAGTCTGGGTGTCGCGGGTTTGCTCTCGGTGTTGACCGACATAGTTCATCGAGATTTTCCGGTGCAGGACGGATGGCCTGACAATGCCACCTGTCTTGTTGTTCGAATGGGACGAAAAATCGAGGTCCTGTGTGCACGTAAAGATCCTTTGGCAGTCGGAATTTGATCCAAGAGTAGGCCGTAGCGCCGCTGACCAGGCAAAATGTTCATCATAGCACACTGTTTAGCGTATACCCGTCTTCATTAGCACAGTCGGGGCAAAACAGTGGGATGTTAAACACCATTTCCGTAACTTTATTTCACGGAGTATGGCCCATGATTGTACGAAATTTCAGTTTGGGCTTGTTGACACTCTATAGAGGTCACAATTTTGTATCCGATTTGGATTAAATGTATGTTTATAGGCATAGCCCAAATGTCTTGGTTCCTTACCATATTAGCGCATATCTGGCAGTAACTTCCTGGGTTATGGCACCTGCTTGTACCAAAAATCACGTCTTTAGTTCGAGGTCCCTCTAGAGGTCACAATTTTTACCTAATTTCAAATACCGTGAAAATCGGACGGAAACTGTCCCGACAAAGTGGCCGCTCGCTCCTTGTACACAAATAGTGTAAAATTATGGAAGTTGTAGACTCTATTAGTCACAATTTTTATCCGATTTTGATGAAGTTTTTAGCTTGTTGACACTCTAGAAGCCTCATTTTTTTTATCCAATTGTAAAAACTGTTTTAAGTATATTACTCTTGCATTCTAATGATGGTCGAGTTTGATTTTATTGAAAATCGGACCGAAACTACACAACGAAATGGTCGCTCCTTGTACGCAAATAGTGCAAAAGTATGTAATACTCTAGAGGTCCGATTTTGATGAAACATATATGTTTATATCCCAACGCGGTGGTTGAATGAGTGGTTAACCAGTGGACATTAGTTGCTTGATTGGAATTGGGGTTTGACACCTAAATTAAGCTTTGAAGTTGCTGTATTCACAAACTTGAATAGCTGGCAAACGCGTTTGCGGCCGTCAAATTTTCCAATTTATCTTTCGTTGGCAGGGCGGGGCTACATGGTAAGCTCCGCTCCTCCGTCTCCCGCAGAAGACTGGCGCCGCCATCTATAAATAACCCAAAATTATTTCGAGGTCTGACCCCCTCCCTCAGCAACAGTCATTGAGGCCATTCGCGTATGCATATATTTGAGCGGTTTTAAAATCGGATCAAAATTGTAACTTCTAGTACGAACACAAGCTAAAACACGATTTCTCGTACGATTAGTGGTCATAATCTAGGAAGTTACGTCCCGATATGCGCGAATATCAAAAGGAATCGAGGCCTTTGGATGGTAAACATATTTCAAGTTTCGTCAAAATCGGATACCAAATGTGACCTCGAGTGTCCACAAGATTAAAAAAAACAACTTGCTTTTTAGTACAATCAGGGGCGATTATTGGTGAAGTTACACCCCGATAATGCCTATATCGAACGGAACTGAGATCTTTGGGATATAAACCCATATTTTAAAGATGGGTTCCCGCGTACAAACTGTGGTGATATATATGGACTAAAAACATATTCAAACTAATTAATGTGTCATAATTTTGCTTCAAATCCTTCTCAAACACTGTAATTGCGAAGGAATGTCCTGCTATAAAAATTCGATCAAACCAGGTCATGTTTACGTCACGTGACTTACCTCTCTTGGAAGTCAGAGGAGAATTCATTCCATACATAAGACGATGTTGTCTTTAATCGTTTACTATTTATTACAAATATCGAATCCTAATTAATTTCTCGTATCAAAAATAAAGTATACATAATTCCCTCAAAACTTGTTGCTTTCAGTCACAAAACCGCTTAAAATGTCGATGCCACTAATTGCAATCGATTGCGGGAAGGTAAAACCTGTGCCACTACATTAAGTATCTGCAATTGGCTTTCTCACAGTCGCATTGGTTCACGATTCCGCTTGTTGTGCAGCTATTGCTTTCGCCAAACCAAATTGCACGCAGTCGCATCGGATTGCAAGGGCTACATAAAGCCTAACTCGAAACGATATGGAAGGGTATCGCTGCCAATATCAAATGGTCTGCGACAATGTCGTTTCCATTGATAATATGTAAAAAATACAATGTACAAAGTCCTAATAAAGTCAAGATACCTCTAAGGCAAGAGTTAAATGTAAAACCTCTAATGTTAAGTGTCTAATGACAAATGTTTTGTTAGAAAATGACGTGTCTACATTTTACATCTCTTACATTACATTTCACATTTGCGCTCTGGCACATCAGTGACATCTCATTTGTCCTTCACGCTTTCTGCACAGCATCAATTTTCAAATGCAATTTTTTTTTCACTATAAATAAATGGGAAATTGGGGAACAGGCAAAATGCCTGTCAGACCCCTATCCCTATTTAAAATACAAATTATATACTAATAATGAAAAGCAGTACATACAATATATACTAATAATGGAAAGCAGTATATACAATATATACAACCCTTACTTAGTTGAATACACCTAAAGTATTATAGTATGTAATAATAATAATAATATTAATAATAACAACTATAATAGTTTAAAATCGTTTAGTTAAATTGAAATATGATTGAACTGTTGTAAAGATAAGGTTATTAATTCCGTTTGTGAATGCATGCAACCCGTACAGTAGAGTTTTGCTGTTCTTATATTCATCAGATAATGTAGAAATGTTATTTCGTCGAAAAGTATTGAATTTTGGACAGTGTAAAAGATAGTGTTCGCTATCCTCGAAAGGGTGACTGACCACAATTGCAAGCTGGATTTTCAGAGCTTTACTGGGCAAATGGTAAACAAAATAATTCTTAGAAGAAACATATGTTATATGTTTCTGATTAGGGCATTGGCAGGGCTTTCTATAAGGGATCATTTCGTTGACCCCAAAATCAGGTTAACTTTTCCATTTGACCTCAAACAGTTCACTGGGATTATAAGCTGGTAGGGTTTTTAGGTAGATTCAAAGAAAACAACTAGTTTGCCACAAATCTGTGTATTATTCATAAATGTGGCATTAAATTCAAAAAAGTTATGAGACATCAAAGATGATAAACATTACGAGAAAATACAGCAACGAAAGTTGAAGTATGCACACAGTAGCAATTGTGATTTAATGAATGGATTTAAAGATAATACAAGCCAACAGTTGAGCTAGAATTTTCAAACTTAGGATAGGTGGTTATTGGGTCAATGCCTTGATGCAGTTCGAAGATGAGCATTTTCTGCTTAGGGTAAGCAGAGATAAGCAATTTGATTGGTTGATGCTCTAGGACACGATAACTTTAGTTCTAATTAAGTGAGTGATGAAACCTGGTGTGTAGTTTCATTACAATAATAAGTTGACTAAGGTCGATAATAAGCATTTCCTGCTCAGGGTAAGCAGAGAGAGAGAGAGAGAAATGGGGTTTAACGTCCACTCGACACAGACGGGGTCATTTCGGGACTAACATATGGTTTAATTTTATTTCAATAATTCGCTTGCGCGTAGGGATCTTTAGCAGTGGGAGGAAACCGGAGGACCAGGAGAAAACCCACGAGGTTGGACAGGCGATCCTACTCCTTGTCACGTACAACCGGGGATTTGAAACCACGCCAGTTGACTCAATGACAGGCTTTATGATACAGCACGCACGTGCTAACCATTTGGCGACCCAACCCCCCCAGGGTAAGCAGAGCGATAAGCAATTTGATTGGCCGAGACTTTGGAACACAATAACTCTCCTTCTAATTGAGCTAGAACTTGGTGTAGACAGGCAATGCCTTGAAGGAGTTCGAAGATGAGAATTTTCTGCTTAGGGTAAGCAGAGGTAAGTAATTTGATTGGTTGATGCTTTGGGACACGATAACTTTAGTTCTAATTAAGTGGGAGTGGGGACACTTGGTGTATAGTTTTATCACATCATTTCCTTGACTAAGTTTAATAATGAACATTTTCTGTTCAGGGCAAGCAGAACGATAAGCAATTTGATTGGTCATGACCTTGGAACACAATAACTCGCTTTCCAATTGAGGTAGAATGTTCAAACTTGGTGTAGGCATTCATTAGGTGACCGCCTTGATAGAGTTCGACGATAAACATTGTCTGCTTACTGTAAGCAGAGCTAAGCAATCTGATTGGTCGATGTGTTGGTTATAATTAAGCGAAAGTGATGAAACCGAGTAAAGATTCATTATATCATTACCTTGACTAAGTTCGATGATGAGAATTTTCTGCCTCGGCTGAGGAACGATAAGCAATTTGATTGGTCAAGACTTGTGACCTCCAGAGGGTCAACCCTGATACGCAATATTTTGACACTATTTGTGAACGAGGGGCGGCCATTTTGTCCGTCAGTTTCGGTGTGATTTTTACAAAATTTGAACCCAACCATCCTTAGGGTGTAAAGGTGATATATTTAAACGTTTTTTTAAATCGGATAAAAATTGTGACCTCTATGGGGTCCACAAGCTAAAAAGAAATGTAAGTTTATAACACAAAGATCTCGGTTCCTTTCGATATTTGCGCATATCGAATTGTAATTTCCTGAATTATGGCCCTTGATTGTAGGAAAAATCACTTTCTTCTTAGCTTGTTCTCTATCCAACAAAATCGGATAAAAATTGTGACTTCTATAGGGTCCACAACTTTGATATACCCTATTTTTACGCTATTTGAGAACGAAGGGCGGCCATTTTATCTGTCAGTTTTGGGCCGATTTTCACGAAATTCGAACTCAGTCGTCCTTAGGGTGTAATGGTGATATAATAATACGGTTTTTTAAATCGGATAAAAAATTATGACCTCTATAGGGTCCACAAGCTAAAAACACGATTTTTCATA